TAGGTGTATTTTCTGTGCCAGTGTTTCTTAAACTGTGAGGCTCCAACTTTTGATCGGAAAGCTGATGCAAAACCCCAGGGAAAATGGTTTCAGGTGGAGAAGAAAAGAAATATATATGGTTTTGCTTACTGCTTGATAGAATGGAATCTCCAATAGTGAATACTTACAGCTAGTCCTTAAAAGGTAACGTCTAATTTGCTCATCTGAAAGTGGAAATGAACAAGAAAAAATACAACAGGTTGCCTTATCCACTTTAAATGTTTTAAAAATATAATTCCCAAATGCCCAATTCCCCCCTCCATTTCTCCAGGGAAGGCAACAGTCTCCCCTCCACCACATTTAAAATAAATTACATGGAGGGGACCTACGTATATTTTTGTAATAGGAGGAAGAATGACTTTGACAAAGTCTGAGAAACTCTGAATATATGCCATCTAAATGTATCTGTTAAATGGTTCAGTGTGTACCTGTCATTCACCTGTACCAACTCCATCCAAACGGAATGATTAAACCTCCCCCTCTCAGTTGCTATAACAGAAATCAAGCCATGGTATTAGAACAGAATTGCCACACAGCTTCTGACTGGTTCATATCTTACCATAGAGTGATAGGATATGAGGGGTTGTGTGTTCCGGGGTGAGTACCTTCCCACAACCCCTGCAAATATCTCTCATAGGAAAGTTAAAGACTTACCTTCTTTGAGTGCCTTTGGGCGGTTGGGAAAGGCTCTTCTCCACCTGAGGAAGGTGAATATTAGGAGTCTTTGGAACCACTATAAACAATGGCTCGGTGCCCTGAAAGCAAGTGAGACAGAGACCCCCTTCCTAAGAGACCACCAACTTTCCTTTCTCATGTCCATTCTGAAGTCATCCTTCTTTGATTAGTCCTGTATGATACTTGTCCATTATATTTTACTCTGTTTTGGACTCATTTGTGCTTTTAGATGATTATAATCTCTTGGCACAAGGACTCTGCTCTTTGTTGGACATACTATGAAATCCTGACTCCGTTGAAATCAATGGCAAAACTCCCATTGTTTTCAATGGGGCCTAGATTTCACCCATCATATCTATTTTACAGTAGCATACACACTTACGCAGCTGCATAAATAACCGATAAGACAGAACTTGAACAGCTCCTATGTCAAAGACATCAGTTTTCATTTTGGTTAGTCCTGTGAAAAGCTCTGTCATGCAGCTGAGGCCACAAATATAATACATGCCTTTAAATTATTAAAAATTGGATAGGAAATCAGTATGATCCTAAATGTTTCTTTTAATTCTACAATCAGCTGCTTTGTCACTGAGAAAGTAAATATACAAAATAGTAGTGACAGGGTCTGATCCTCCACTGTCTTGAACATCATCTAGTTATTTACACCAGTGCAAAGTGGGTGTAAAGAACAATCCAATCACATTTCTCTACACATCTACTAGTAGCATCTTATAATCACTTTGCATAGGTGCAAAAACTACATAATGTTCAAGACATCAGAGAATAAAGTCCACAATATTTGGAGCAGCAGGTCTCAAACTGTGGGGTGGGACCCCAAAGTGGGGTGTGACCCCGTTTTAATAGGGTTGCCAGAGCTTGTGTTAGACTTGTGGTGCTCGGAGCAGTCTGAAGCTGAAGCCCGAGCCCCACCGCGGAGCTCAGGCTTTGGCTCTGAATGGTGAGGCTCAGGTTACAGGCCTCCTGCCCTGGACTGAAGCCCTTGGGTCCCCTGCCTTGAATGGCAGGGCTTGAGCTTGGGCTTTGGCCCCCCTGCCAGGGCTGCCAGCCTCGGGCGGGCTCAGGCTTCCGTCTCCCCTCCTGGGGTCACGTAGTAATTTTTGTTGTCAGAAGGAGGTCACGGTGCAATGAAGTTTGAGAACCCCTGATTTGGGGGATCTAAACGGAGAGAGCAATATGGTAAACTGTTGTTGGATGTGCTTTGACAATTAAGTATGTTTAATTACAGAACTGTATCAACAAATACACAAACAAGAACCATGTTAACTTCAGCTCCAGCAGAAATCACTGTTCATGGAAAATGTAATATTGGCAAAGGGAGCTAAAATTGGGAGGTAAGCAAGTAGGGCTTGATTCTGTTCTCATTTACATTGATTTCACACCAGTGTAACACCATTGACTTCAATAGGGTTACTCTTGATTTACTGCAGTGTAAGTGAGCTCAGCATCACAGACAATCAGTCCACAATGTTTTCTGTGTTTATCGTTCTCAGTCATTAAGATAATATTTTAAACCATGGAGAATGAAAGTAAATTAAAGAGATGGTATTGTTCTTTTAACTTTGATAACAGAGCAAATAACTTCTCTCATCTTCTCATAGAATCATAGAACATCAGGGTTGGAAGGGACCTCAGGAGGTCATCTAGTCCAACCCCCTGCTCAAAGCAGGACCAATCCCCAATTTTTGCCCCGATCCCTAAATGGCCCCCTCAAGGATTGAACTCACAACCCTGGGTTTAGCAGGCCAATGCTCAAACCACTGAACTATCCCTCCCCCCAAAAATAATTGGGAGTTAGAACCTCCTGAAAATTCTGACTGGGTACATTACAAGTCATATAAGAATCTTATGAGACCTCAGGTAGAATAATGTGCTCCAGCTGAGTGGTAGGATAGCTATTTAATCAGTTTCTGCATAGTCCCACTTTTTGGAGTGGCCTAATATCGAAATGTGGTCTAGAATAACAGTGTACCTTTAACCAGCTGTCAGAGAAATCAAACTCGTAGATTCTGCAGAAATACGATTTGATGGCCAAGCCACACGCTTTGGCACCGCTTACAATAGTACAGTCAGTCTACTTTTTTTTTTTACTTGTAGGCAAAAGGTATTATCCTCATCCACTTGATATTAAGTTATGTTTTAAACCCAAATAGTAAAATATGGGGCCGGAGCTAAGGCAACTCAAGGGCAACATTAATAATTTTAAAAATAAAAGACGGGGAAAGACACCAGATAACACTGCAGACATGTCAGACAGTTGTAATACATACATACATGGCACACACTTGCAGAAATTTCTTCCTGTGTCAGCCACCTATTTATTAGAGATATTACATTCAGACAAATTGAACAGGAAAACCCTACAAATATGTAAATCCCTGCCACAGACACACACATTTTCGAAACATTATGTATACTCTAAAAACCATATCGTTTTTTTTTTCCCGGGGTGGTGGTGGTGTTGCACATTTCTCACAGTTGCCTCTGTTTGGATACTGAAGTTTATGGATTAGTTATATCATGTGATTTACCTATGGTGTAGATGCCAGCTCCTCTGACTACACATGCTTTACCACAAGCATTAAAAGAAGTAATTTAGTAATATCCCTTTCTAAGAAAGATGAAAATCTTGTAACGCTAATTATTAGTAATGGATTATTGAAAAGACTAAAACATTTCCTTTAACCATTGAGTACCTAACCCTGTAATCTCATATACTTGAAAAACTATACTCTGCTACATCTTTTCTTCTTGTACATATGTATTATTACACACTTCCTTAGTGTGAAGAAAAGTGTTACATTTTAATTGTCACCTTTTTTCTGTCTTTAATAGGAATGAAACTGTAGAAGTGATTTGAATCTTCTTCACAAACTGGGCTAATCCAATTTCAAATCACCTAAGGTGGCAACAAATCCACTTTATGCTTTCCTTGTCCTATCTCCATCTTGCATTACATGGAGTCACTTTCAGATCCTTGTTAGGCAGTGCACTGGGTCTTTACATTACTTGCACCTTTCCCCTTTATGCTGCACTAACCTTGCATACAGTCCCCAAACTATGCTTGCACTGATACATATTTCCATTTCATTTTTGGCTCTGCTGGGCATAGGAGAACTGAGCCTTAGTTATGTTCTCAACTCGCATTATTTATACACTTGGACATTAACCACTTCTTTTTATTTTGGTGGTCTTCCACGAGTTCAAAAAACTGACTAAAAACCAACCCAATTTTATAGGATCTGATTCTGTTTGCAACTCTGCTGGTAAATCATTAGTAACGACCAAAGTCAATGGAGCTCCACCCGGTGTAAGAGCCTGAGCCTTTGAGTTGCAGATTGTCATCAACTCTAATAAGTGAAGTCAGTGGGAGTTCAGCATCTTGCGGGACTGAGCTCTAAATGAAATAATTTATTAGGCCCACAGCATTTCCTGACACTATTCACACTGTGAATTTGGGAACCAGAAAGCAGATACACATATCTATAATTTTTCTTAAATCTGTATTATTTGTAAATTAGAGGGCCTATCTCCCAATGGAAGAGAAAAGTCTGTCGTGCAGCTAAAGGAACTAAGGGAGGTTCTCTTGTGTATCTACAGAAGGTGAGCATCCATAAGGTTGGTCAAGTGTCTTACTGGGGGAACTCATGGGGTTAATGTGTTTTATAAAGGTGGAAATGCACACGGCGAGTGAAGGTGTAATGGGGCATGGTTAGAGCAATTCATAGGAGGACTTTGAATAAGTGAAGGGAAGTCCAAAGGAGTTGGGCATTTCAGTAAGGAGTGCACATGGAAATAAGCTGCTCATGAGGGAGTGAACATGCATGGTTGTGTCTTGGGGTGGAATCTCAAGGGGAGCTGCAAGAATAAGGAGAAGTGCATGCACAGTGGGTATATGGGAGGAAAATGTACGCAAGAGATATTTCTACTAAGACAAGATGACATCTGGACTCTCGCTACCCCAGGATGCTACTGTCTTTTAAGTGGAGAAAGGGAAGTCAGTAACCAATTATCTCTGACAAAGATTTCTGCTACAGCAAAGGCTTGTGGAACCTATGGTATCTTGTCTTGTTCTTATAATAAACAACAAAGAGACTTAATTCACTAACAGACATAACACACGACAAAACAGAACATAATATGGGCTTTGCCTGGGAGAATGCCTAATGTTCCAATGTCTTCCAAGGGCCTGATCCTGCTGTTCTGACTCTTGACTAATCCAGCTGAAGACAAGTGCTACTTATTTGAATAAGGGCAGCAGCATCAGGTTAGGTAATTTTGCTTTTTTTTCCTATAGTTTAACCTTCAAAAATTGACATGTACATTTTATTTCCATTCGGTGGTATAATGAACAAGTAGAATGAAGCACAATAAATATCAAAGCAAAATTAAAAAACAAAATAAATGGACCATAAAATTGTGGCCACTGCTTCTGTTTAGTGTGATGAATAAAATAAAATAATAATAAATAGTAATACAATAGAGAAGATAAATTATGCTACAAACATGGCAGTGCCTTATTTCTTATTTCACTATATTTGTTATCAAGAAGACATGCAGTCCAGAAACTCATGGCATACACATTGGCAAAAGCCATAAACCATAAGAATAACAAGGCTCGAAGGAACAAGGCTGACGAAGACGACCCCCAGGGTGACTTTCTTAGATACCAGTAAGTAGATCCCTAAAGGCAAGGAACTAAAGTATAGCAAACCTAGCAACCAAATTAGCACTCGAATTGAGGTCTGGAAGAGCAAGGATGTACAGTTCCACACTGTCCAGTTGTGGGATACAGTTGCAACAGACTCAAAACTCGTGGGCCTGTAGAATTCCACCACCGGGGTAGAGTTCAGAGTCTGTGGGCTTTCTCTCTGCACTTCCATGATGGTTATAACCAGGCAGTTGGAGGAAGCGTGAGAAGGGCTAACAAGAGATGCCAGCCTTTTGGGAGTTAGCAACAGTTCTGTAGGATTATCTGGCAGGCACTTCTTCCCCTTTCCCCCACAAGCCAAATTCACAAGGATGTTGTTGTCATCAGGAAGACTACTAACCTCATCATCAGGCAGGCATGTCTCAAACCTACAGAATGGGCACACTATGACTCCCTGAGGAGAGTCCCCAAAGTCTATGATCTTGCAAAGGCATTTGGCACATACTCTGTGACAACACTCCAGCACTTTTGGTTTCCTCTGTCTCTGATTATAGCGGTTGTAACAAATCTTGCACTCAAGCTCATCTGAGCCCTGGGACTCCACAGGATCCTCTGGTAGTTGACTGATCATTTCTTCTTATGGTCTGTAGACTTGTGATGATGGGAGTCAAAAATAAATGCTTCACTAAGGATGCTATTAGGGCGCCTCTCAGATTATCATACCACCCATATCAGCCAGGAAAACAAGAGAGGAAGATGTCACAAGTACCAGTAATCTTCATTCATTTTCAGCTTCTGTCAATGACATTGTACTGTGTGTCCTTCACTCTGTGCCATGTATCCATGTAAACAAGACAATGTGGACTTTCTGTAGAGGAAAGAGAGTCTAGCATTGTTAGCACTGAATTGACAACAAGTCTTTTACAGCTTTATCTTCCCAATAACATTTTAAAAGCTCTCTAAAAGCATTCTTAAAATAGTTTTTTTTGTGTCAGACAGGGCATATACAGTAACCTTGCTGATTATAAAATTTTATACCACTCCAGACATTTATGTATCCTTAGTCTTGCATATAGCCCCATTGCCTCTCTAAACCTATTAAACCCTTATTGGGTCCTCATTCTGTTAGGTTTGTTCACTTATCTAGGACCCTGTTTTTTATTTTTCTCTCTTTACATAGCTGTAAGTGCACCTCTTTTCCATTATGCCTCGAAGCCAAACATACAGGTCAATGAGGAGTGGGCTTTTACTATCCAGTCAACAGTCCCCCTTAAAAATACATTTTGGGCCCAACCATTACATCTCCCAAGTGCCATGGCCTTTTTTTCCTGGTGCTTCTAACTTTCTATGCTGTGATGACGGGTTGTAGACCCCTAACTAGAGAGAAGGTTGTAGGAAGCTTGCATTGCTGCACCCCCTGTACTGGGTGGGGTTTCTGCCACCAGGACCTGCAGCTTGGGTTGTGCTGGCATAAATAAATAAGTCCTGCTATGTAACAGATATTGTGTGTATTATCCTGGCTTCTGGGCATGTTACAGATATTAAATACAAAACATCAACCAATGCTGCCTACATTGGGTAATAATAATTGTCAACCTCTATAAACCAGTGCAATGTGCCAGAGGGCAAAAAAACTTTCCATAATATTACCCCAAATTCATTCACATTCTTGGCCAAAACACTAAGTTTCACAATGTGTTTTGAAGACCACAGCAAATTCATGCTCTGGCAGAGTACCACAGACAGTGTGTACACAGCTAGTTACTTGCCACTAGGAACACTCTGTCCTAATACTCTGATCCAGCTGAGCTGTGCTTGCAGACGCGGATTAAAATTTCCTTGGGCCAGAGCAAATCGGGGGTAGGGGGCTCTCCCCCCATTTCTGTCTGTGGCACCACCCACAGCCCCACCGCTTTCTGCCCCTTCCCTGGGACCCACCCCTGTTCCACCCAGGGTCCCCCCATTCTGCCTGCCCCACAACCCGTTTGCTCCTTTCTGCTCCCCCCCACCGTGGTCCCAAGACCGGAGAAGCTCTGTCCCCACGCCATGGCCCCGGGGCCATAGCAGGGAGTGAGAACTTCTCCAGTCCCAAGGCCCCAGTAGGGGTCCAGGTGCTGGGGCTTCTGCCGCCATTCCCCGCACTTCTGCGTGGGACCAGGATCGGGACTCCGGGACTTCTCCTGCCCTGCCTGCCAAGTGCTTCTGCCAGAGAGAGGGATTGGGCACGGGGGCTTCCCCTGCCGCCCTGCAGCTTTTGCCAGGGTTTGGGGTTGGGGACCACTGCGGGGGCTTCCCCCACCCAGGAGCTTTTGCCGGGGAGGGGGTTGGGGGGTGCTTCCCCCATCCCACAGCTTTTGCCAGGGTCGGGGCCACTGCAAGAGAGTTTCCCCCGTTCCAGAGCTTCTGCCGGGGCCAGAGGGGGAGCTTCCCCCATCCCGTGGCTTCTGCCAGGGTCAGGGGGTTACTGGCTGAAGAGAGAAGTCTTTTGGGTATTACTGTGTAGTCCTAATCAAAACTTAGCTCTCTACATATTTTTGCTTTCTGGCCCTGATGAGTGTTTCCAGGCTTCACCACAGCCTATGTCCTTGTATTTGTCTCTCAATCTTTAAACTTTAATTTCTTGATCATTAGTTTTGGCAAGGTTTTGATTTTATTTATTCTCTTTTTTAGATTCTTCTGTCAATTAATTGTCATCCTCTCAGGCGCCCAAACATCTCCTTTATGGATCTCGAATGTACTTGTATTTTGTATTATTTGTCTTAACTTCCAGTGCAAATTGGGTTCTACTCTCCATTTCTAGGTTTTAAAATTTACTTTCAAATTGTTTACACAAGATACAACACTTTGAACGAAACAGGAATGGAAAACAATGAAATAGTGCAAACATATAATAATATACTCTTATGAGAATTTATATTATACAGACTCCGTCATTCATTTTCTTCTCTTATTTCTACATCTCACTTCATTCACTAATCTTTCCAAACATCCTCCACACCTTATTGATAAGTTAATTATTATTTGTATTGAAGGCATTATGCTAGGCACTGTAAACACATAATACAAACAGCTGCTCCCTGCTGCATGGAACTTAAAATCTAAGTATACCAGGAGACACAAGAGGTGGATACTCACATGACTCCTGGTTACTTTTTGCACTTCTTTATTCATTTACACTAGTCTTTTTATTTTACTCCTGGTATCATCTCTAGATGACCTTTAGTCATACATAAATGCCACAAGATACTAATCCATCTGGAATCTGGGAAACCTACAAAATGGGCACAGTAAGATGAAATGCTGGCCTTCAAGGATCCTAGAAGAAAAGGCTTAAAAATTTTTTAGAGCCCTAAAAAAATTTGGGGCCTTGGATTTATAAATCCCATCTCATCTGTTTTTTTTGTACTGGGTGTGAGATAGGGCAGTGAATTCATCAATTCACAATTAGGGTTGGTCAAAAATTCTGTCAAAACTGTTTTTTTGTTTGTTTTGTTTTGTTTTGTTTTTTTTTACAGAAAATTGGGGTTTGAGAAACCAAATTTTTTTCACAAAGTCTGCTTGCCATGGAAAATTTCAACTTCTTGTTAAAAACCCTCAATCCCAAAATTTTCAGATTTGAATCAAAGATGTTTGTTTTTTCAATGAAAAGTCAAACATTTCTGCAGAAAACAAACCCATTTTCCAACCAACTCTACTCATAATTTTATCACATTTGCTTGCATACCATAAACATGTATTGTATGCTAAAAAAAGTATTTCTGTGTAGCAAAAAATACATTATTTGGCCAGATTCAGCACTACTGTAAGACATCAAAATTCCATTGAAGTTCCACTTATAAAAGTAGTAGATTTGTTTCATTATTCCAGATTTCCTGAACCCCTTCTTCTAGCCTTCAAGTAACCCCCCAACCTCTCCAGGCTCATCATCACAAGCAAGCTCCCCACAGACCAGGACACACCAACTCAAAGTGGCACCGCGCCCTGCCAGATGCAAAACCTGCAGATGTGTCTCCACTGCTATGGTGATCAATACCCCCACAACACGCCTTTCAAGATTCCTGGGTCCAACAACTGCCTATCACAACATGTGCTGTACCTCATCCAGTGCACTAAATGTCCCCATGACAACAGTGGGTGAAACCAGACAATCGCTATCCTCTTGAATGAACTCACACTGCAAAATGATAAAAAAAAAAAGACAAAAACACACTATCACCTCTATGTGAACACGTTTCACAAAATGATCACTCTGTATCTGACCTCTCAGTCCTCATCATCAACAGAAACAGGCACAACACTTTCAGAAGATGAGCCTGGGAACTTAAATTCACAACTTTGCTAGACACTAAAAATCATGGTCTTAGAGACACTGGATTTATAACTTTTTACAACAATCTGTAACCTACCAACCTCCCTTTTTGTACTATGACTACAGGGGTGTTAACAGGCCACCTCACCCTGATTGGTCCCTTTGCATATGTACAAACTACTTATGCTAAACTGCTTTTGCCAGGGACACAACAGGAATGGAGTCTTAGAACTTTTAGAATTGAAAAGGAGAGGCAATATACATCTGGCTGTGGTTAGTTACAGAAGCAAAGCTGACTGTGCACTCAACTCTGCCACCTTTGTTCATGGGTATGTACACAGTTCCTGGACAAAGATGACAAAGACAACACTGACATTTCACACAGACGCTTCTATTCTCATAGCTCCACCTGAAATATATGCATTCGATGAAGTGAGCTGTAGCTCACAAAAGCTTATGCTCAAATAAATTGGGTAGTCTCTAAAGTGCCCCAAGTCCTCCTTTTCTTTCTGTTCGACCTTGTATTTAGTTGTGAAGCTGGGATTACCTTTCCCAGAAGAGCTCTGTGTAGCTTGAAAAACTTGTCTCTCACGCCAACAGAAGTTGGGCCAATAAAAGGTATTACCTCACCCACCTTATCTCTCTAAAATCCTGGGACCGACCTGGCTACAACACTGCATACAAAAAGAAGAGAGGCAGCCAGGAAGCTGGAGGTTGGGCATGTGTAGCAGCACGGATTCCTGTGTTTATGGGAACTAGAGCCCAGGGCCACACACAAGCACAGCTAAAGAGAGGTTAGAAATCAGTGTTAGTCAGGCAAGAAGTTCCCTCTGTATCACAGTTCAGGCATGGTGACAGGGCAGTGTGTGTGGGAAGCTTGCCCTATGGCTGCTGTGTAGATAAACACAGGACTCCATTCATCAGGGCTATCCAGCCAGTGCTTTTTACAAGCACTAAATGCACACAAATTTTTGTGTGTGTGGAAGTTTATGGTTATAGGCACATTTATGCAAATATTCATATTAGCTTAGTCATTAATTTAAAATGTATAAAATGTATAAAATGTCAGCTGAAGCTGCGCAAAACTTGGTAGTTATGAAAAAAGTACCCAGAGAATAACTGGCCAAGGAACAGGGGAAATGGGTGCTAGTTGTCTGTGTGGGGCCCATTTGAGGGAGTTTTACTCCCCTTACTTGAGCTTGCTTAACGCAGACTCTTGTAGAGGGCTGCAGACTGGCAGTGTTCGTTTGAAAACTGCTCCTCTGCTGCACCCATTTGCTGGGGGGCGGGGGGGTTTGCTGGCTTGCAAGGGAGGCATGATGGTGATCCTGAAGGGGAAGCAGGGTGATGCCAGGTGCTTAAACTACCTGGTTGAATCTCTTTCTCGGTCTCCAAGCTGTTATGCAACACAGCGGGAGGCAGCCAAGTTGCTAGCTGCAGGAGCAGGTACCCTGATGTTTCCCTGTGGGCTGGTAACCACCAGAGAAACCTCTGGTGCTTGGGAATATGCCACAAGTGCTGCTGCACTCCACTGAACATGGAACAGATCATTTTCTGAG